ACCAGCAACCTTTCAGTCTGCAGTCTGGTGCTCAGTCCTCTGAGTCATACCGGCCAGGGCGCAGTAGGCACTTTAGATATTCAGATACTCCATTTTATTTAATGCTGAAACACCAGTATTTTGTTGGTATAAGTCTGGGTCTTGTCAGAAGAGAGAGAAACCATGTAATAATTTCAACAAGGAAAATTTTAATATAAAAATAATCAACTATAATAGGAAATGAGAGAAATGAGGGATTGGATTGTGTATTAGTTTCTTAAGGCTGCCATAACAAATTACCATAAATTGGATGGTGGCTTCAAACAACACAAATTTACCACTTGCAGTTCTGGAGACTAGAAATCAGCAGGCTCTCTCTGAGATTCTGGCTGGAATCCTCCCTTACCTCTTCCTAGCTTCTGCTGGTTGCTGGCAATCTCTGGCAGTCTTTGGTTTATCAATACAGTCACTCAAATCTCTGCCTCTGTTGCCACATGGCATTTTTCCTGTATGTCTCTGTGCTTGTCTTAACATGGCATTCTCTTTCCATGTGTCTGTGTCCAAATTTCCTTCTTCTTTCAAGAACACCAGTCATTGGATTAGGTCTCACCCTAAACCAGTATGACCTCATAGGTTATATCTGAAAAGGTCTATTTTCAAATAAGGCCACAGTTGCAGGAACTGGAGGTTAGGAATTGAACATATCTTTTGGGATTGGGGGGACACAATTCCACCCACTACAAATAGTAAGAAGTAGACAGAATTCTAAAGAATACAGGAATAGCAGAAAAGGAGCAGCTACTACCCCTCAGGCTAAGATACACCACCCAAGAAAAAGCTTCTACCTCAACCTCCTTGAGGCTGACATCCAGACATTTTTAGGTACCATTCCAGTGTAACTTGCTGGAAATCTTCCCTGTAGGGTGTCAGGGAAAATTGTTCACAAGAAGGTGTCTCACCAGAGGCAATTCCACTACAAAACTGTCGAAGGGGCATAACAGGGGAAGCTGCTAGCCATTGGATGCTGTTGGCCACTATGCCCTGCAAGAACCTGGCACTGGAGAGGCTGGGAGCTAGGGATCCCACTTGCACCACAGGGCCTTTTGAATAGGACTCATTGGAACCAGAAAGCAAAACCCTTTCTTCTTGCCATGTCTCCCCATCTGACAAAACTTGACTCCAGCTAGCGGAGAAAAAAATATTTAAAGGACCCAGATTCATTTTCACGGAGCAGGCAAAAAGAATAAATTTAGAGCTAAGAGAAAAGAAGTTGATAACTGGCACAGTGACATATCATTGTTTCAAATAGGCAGCTCCCTTCATCCTTCCTGACTTTCCCTTCAATCTTCCAAACTTTCTCCCCTTCCCTGATATCCTAACCATAAGCCCTATCACTTTGCCGTTCAGTTCTTCCAAACTTGACCCTGGCCTATCACTCTCCCCCTGCCCAATAAAAAAGAAGGTAAAGATGGAACTGCTGTTAGGTGGCTCTCTAGACTAGGGAAGAGACAGAGGTAGATGACGGGTGGTACTAGCTTTCTCAGATAAATAAAAATTGTTAACAGCTTGAAGTAGCTAACCAGACTGCAAGAGCTCTTAGAGGTGGGTCTTGAAAGCTCCCCAGCCCTGGCCAACATGGCTCACTTGGTTGGAGCATCATCCCATAAACCAAAAGGTTGTCGGTTTGATTCCCAGTCAGGGCACATGCCTCGGTGCCAGGTTCAGTCCCCAGTCAAAGAGTGTGCGAGAAGCAACCAACCAATGTATCTCTCACATCAATGCTTCTCTCCCTCTCTCTCATTCCCTTCCCCTATCTCAAAAATCAGTAAATATGTCCTTGGGTGAGGGAAAAAACCCAAACTCCTCAGCAGGGGAATTAAATTGGACTGGAACGTGCTGACACCTGGCTGGACTGAGTACTTCAGGATAAGAGGACTGAAGCCGAGGGAATCAGCAGAGCCAACAGCATTTAATTTAAAAAAACAACTAAATATATATGGATGTGCGTGTGTGTGCGCGTGTTTAATCCTTACCCGAGAATGTTTTTATTAATTTTAGAGAGAGGGAGAAAAAGAAACATCAATGTGAGTGAGAAACATCAATCGGTTGCCTCTGGTATGCACCTTGACCAGGGATTGAACCTGCAACCTAGGTATGTGCCCTGACCGGGGATCATACCCACATCCTTTTGGTGCATGGGATGCTATGCCAATCAATTGAGCCTCCCAGGCTGGGCAGCATTTTTGTATATACGGATGGAAACTCCAAACTCTTAGAGACAGGCACCTGTCTATCTCCAGGACATAGCATATAGGAGGCACTGAAATTTTGTTGAATGGTTGATGCAAACCAGAGCAGCAACCCAAACTCATTTCAATACCCTAAAGCCACATCCTAACCCAACCTACCTGACTAATCTGACTACAGGCTTCCAGAAAAAGGTAGTGAGCAAAGCAGCTGGCTTGGGAATCGGAAGGCACAGGGCTCTCTGAGAGGAAGAAGAGGCAGTTTTTATCACCCTCTTTTTGCATGTAGCCTAAGACTTATTTATCAGGCACACTGAGATGTGATTTCTCACTTATCTTGATTTTCCTAGCCTATCCTGAGATAAGCATGGCAGGGTTTATTGTTCTCATTTTACTGAAGCCAGGGAACAATTTAGCAGGTGGGAGACCCAGAATCTAAAGTGGCTCAGAGTTCCTGAAGAATGAGACACTCATGTGCCCTAACAGCCAATCTCCAGCCACATTACCTGCCTTACTGGAGGTCGTGTGGGGCCTCTGGCCACACCCTAGAGTGTGTACACAGGTGGTGGGTAAAGTAGGAGTTATTGGAATAGTAGTCACAAAGGGCAGAGGTGAGACCTTGAAGGTATGAAGGCTTGTGGTAGCTAGCCTGGGCTGGGGGCCAAGACACCAGGCTCTACTTTAGACTTCAATTTGATGAACTCCAGTGCCCAGTTAGAGCTTTAGGGCTGGGCCCTCTCTACCTGATTTCTCAGTTCCAGGCCCTTTCTTTAAGACTACTTCCTTTCCCCTTGGTGTTGAGTTCTTCAGGAGATCTAGGAGAAGTAAAAGTCAGATCTGGCAGCTTTTCTTATCTTCAGCCTCGGAAAGCACCGAGAGCCTACAGGGGGGCCTCTTAACTAGTGAAGGTTGAGAAGGATCTCCAAACACCACCAAACACTACAGGAAACATCCTCAGGCACTATGCAGCCAGTCCTGATCCAGGGGGAAAGAACACCTCTAACTGAAAGAGATGCTACCTACTTCCACCAGAAGCCTTATCACGGAACTTCAGAGGACCCACCAGGCCATTACAGAGTAGGTGTAGTCCTGGGAGAGCTATCTGGATGAGTTCTTGATTATAAAGTTGGGGAGTTTTCTCTTTTCACACCAACTCTTACTGAAGCTGCTCTTTCCAAATCTTTTCTGTCATTATTTTGATCATTCAATCCCCTAAGAGAGAATTCTGCTAGGCTGGATACACACCTTCATCTCAGGCCAAAAACTCTAGGTTTCAGGCTCCCTTGTCTCAAGAAAATATGTACTGGCCCTGGCCGGGCTGCTCAGCTGGTAAGAGCGTCATCCAGACACGGGGAGATTGCGGATTCTATCTCTGGCCAGGGAACACACAGGAAACAATCAATGAATGCATAACTAAGTGGAACAACAGCAACAACAAAATGATGGAAGGAAGGAAGGAATAAAGGGAGGGAGGGACGGAAAGAAAAGAAAAGGAAAAGGAAAAGGAAAAGGAAAGATGTACTGGTTTGAACCAGGGAATCCCAGGGAAATAGAACTTGTAGAGGCACGGGCTTTAGTTAGGCGGGGAATGCGCCTGCACAATGCAAGAAGGCAGGACTTACCCACTTCCTCCTCACCAACCAACAGCTTGGCTCCTGATAAAGGTTCCATAATGCAGCCTCTCAAAGCAGTGGGATTATATCCCTGATCCCTTACTACTAGGACTATTTACACGCCCCATCAGCTATGCCCCTCCTGAAAGAGAGTTCGTGGGAGCCTGGAACAGAAAGGAAAGAAGCTGGACCCCACCGAGCACGCCAAATTTGGTTATTAGTCTCCTGCAATGATGTTCCTCTATTGAGATGTCTGTAAGGCCTGCACAAACCCCTACTTCTCCTGGAAGAGGTGCACAACACTCGGGTAAAGTGAAGCTCAACGGCCCCAGTCTCCTCCCCACTTTAGCTCAGCCCAGTCTCTCCAGGACACCGCGCGAGCAACGGAGCCGGAAGGGGCACCGACGCTAGTCTCTTAGCCCTCACCACCCACTCCCCAACTCTTCCCTGCGAGGTGAGAACCTAGCTGAAGTACAGGGTGTTACCGAAATACGCCTCGGTAGGGGCCTCTCTAGGAAATTAGGAAATTTCACAGATCGTTAGTACTCAGTTCACATTGATTGGCCTAAAATCTAAAGAACCGGAAGATGCCCTTAAAAAACGTGGCGGCACTCTAGCTTCACTACTGTTGTCTTACTAGCTCAAGAAAACTTGACATAGTCTTCCGCCACTGTCTGGCCATCCGAGGTTGACGCCAGCCACTTCACTTTGGTTCCTTCAGTGTTGCTATATCTGCCCTCAACCACAATGGCAGTACGGCCCATTTTGGCTGCATGCCCCTAGGGATGATGGCTGCCAGGTGGCTTCACTTACTTTCTCACCACTCAGGAAGACGCGGACCGGCGATTGGGCACTGCTGGGAGGCTCCGAGAAGAAGGCCTTCCGCGGTTGGGCAGTGCTGGGTGAGGCTGGTTTTAAAGGAGCCGCAGGTGGGAGCCGTCGAACACCCGAGATCGGCGGGAGGCGGCGGTGAGCAGTGCGCGGGGGAGGGCATCGAGCGGCTGGAGAAAGGGCGGGAGGAGGGAGGGAAAGAAACATTTGAGCCATCTGGACCCGGGCTGGGGAGAGTGCTGGGCGGGGATCCGGAGAGGGCGGAGGGAGGGGGTCTGTGGGCGGGACCTCCCGGGATTGGAGTGGAGGGGGTATATGCTGGACTGTGGATCCTTGGGGATCCTGACAGAGTTTGTGATGCTCAAGCTCAGGCCGCCCTTGAGTGGAGCTTTGCAGAGCCGAAGCTTACAGGGAGAGGAGGATCCTCCCGCGGCGTCTGATTGGAGGAAACGCGCTGTAGGATTCTTCCCGCTTGGATCAGTTTAGGGGATCTGGTGGGAGGGAGATTCGTCGGTGTGTTGGGTGTATTGCTCCGGAGTCCTCGGCCATTCGCTGAGAGTGGATGGGGATCGCAGCGGGATCGGGCGGAAACTGAGCCTCTCAGGACCGGGATCCCAGCTGATCCCAGGGGGGTTCTCAGGGCGGAATCTACCGGGACAAAGGCCCCAGGAGGATCGGGCCGTGGGAGAACTGGGGCCGCTGCAATCCAGGTTCTCGCGGCAAGTGCCCGGCAGGGCGCAAGTGATCCTTTGATCGCGGCGGCAGCGACAGCAGCAGTGGCGGCAGTAGGAAAACGCCGGCTCCAGGCGGCCGACCGGGGGCGCCCTTTCGCACCCCAGGTCTTTGGCCCGTGGGCTACCGGGAGCTGCGGGCTACCATGAAGGGCGGAGCCCCATGGAAAGGGCTGGCCCTCACTCCCCACTCCCCTACTCCCCACCTCCCACCCCAGGCTGCAGCCTGGGATCCCCCAGGGACTCCCCGGAGCCGCCGCTTCCCCCATGGACTTGCCCGGGGACTCCAGGTGAGAGCGCACCCTGCCAGCCTGTGTTGAGCTCGGGAAACGGGGAGCCTGGCGACTGTACAGGGGAAACCACAAAGCCAATGACAGGCTCAGGCGACCGTCCTCTGCTTCTCTCATCCTGCAGCCCGCCTGGTCAGCCACGTCTGTGCCGCCAGCCCCTGACTCGAGCAGTATGGGGAGCCAGAAGTCCGAAACGGCCGAGGCTACAGCCCCCGGTGGCCCCTTCACCCTTGGAAAAGGCCTCTCGGCGGGTCCTGGCCGTGGTACTGGAAGACGTCATGGCCGCCCATATGGTGAGCCCCCTTCTTCCGCAGGTGCCTCCTCAGTACCAATTAGGCTAGAGGTCCAGACACCTCATTCTCACACACATCGCTCAAGCAGCCATCCTAATGCTAGAGTTTCGTTTGGCTCTTTCACTCCAGCCTCAAATTGGGCAGGGTCTCCAGTGTCCATTCACCACAGCCAACCGTTCTGGACTGGAACTGCATCCCTACAACTCTAAGTATGAGAAACCCTTCTGCTTTAGCTAACCCAAAGACACCATCATTTTTTCATTTCTTTGAAGAGCCTGGGTGAGATTACCCAAGTCCCACACCAGCAGCTTAGAACACTTGGTGGCCCCCAATTCAGTTTGACACACTTCTTTGGAGGTCTTGAGGGAATTCTAGCCACTACCTCTGTTACCTTTGTGAATAGGACACAGGCACAGGAAGGTCTCCTGTCCACTCCAACTTCATTCCATCACCTTGTTCTTGATACTTCTTCTCCTAGGTCCCCCTGGTGCCCCAAGAGGAAACCTCTACTCCACGGCACCGCAGCAACCGTTGGGATTCTGTCCACAATCAGCTGTCCGCCTCACCACCCCGACAGCCCATGTGGTCGTCACAGACCAGGTGAGCAAGACAGGATGTGGGGTAAGTTGGGGACACTGCTGAGCCCCTCTGATTTTTGTGTTCCCCCTCTAGGCCTCCCTACCCACTGCACTTATGCCGAGAGCCCTTGAGCCGCAACCACCAGGCTTCTTCCACCCTGAGGTGTCGATCAAGGACAACCCCTGGCCCAGAGGAAGGCCCTTCACAAGAGGTGGACCGGTCCCCACAGCCCACTCTGGTGGTGATGCTAGAAGATGTTGCCAGTCCAAGATCACCAGCTGAGGTATGGGAACTTCTGGTAAGGATGTCAGAGGTGTAGTTGGGGGCAGGCACTCCAGTGTGGGTAGATGACAAGTGTAGGTGAGTTGAGTCTGGGGTAGATTTTGCTCAGAGCAAAAAGGACAGCATTTTAGGTGGAAGACACTGCTTGAACAAAGACCTATATGAAAAAGCTTTTGGTGTGAACCCAAGCAGGTATCTGGAGACAGAGAGTCGGGATGTGGGAAGCTAAGGAGGCCATAGGGGGCTTCCCTGCCTACCCACAAACATCCCCTGTTTATATCCAGGGCTTCACGGACGAGACTCCCAACTTCATCATCCCAGCGAGAAGGTGAGAGGGCTGGAGAAAGAATTATCAAGATGTCCAGACAACAACCATTGTCCAGGCAGCCAGAGCTAGGGGGCATTAGAATTTTCTTGTTCAGTAGTTCCATGTAGCACCTTCAGTAGCCTTAAGGGACAAGGGAGGTGCTGACTCAGGTGGGATCTGGATCTGGAAGCTTCCCCAGCCTTTACCTTGCTCCTTCACCCCAGAGCTGAATCCATGATGATGGTTCACCAGACAATGCCTCCACCCAAGAACCTGGACGCCCCATTCCAGGTATCTGCCCTGCCTGCAGACCCTCTAGAGAACTCATCACCAGGTAAGGACTGAGATAGATAGATGAGATTTGGGGCTCTGGAAAATCCTAGCTGAGCTTAGAAGTATCAGTTGCAGAGGTGGGGATGGGGCTTAACCCCCTCCCAGGGCAGAGCTTGGTGTGTGAAGATGGGATTTCAACTTCAGAGGCCTGATATCCAACTCCTAAATTTGGGGCTTAGTTTTGTTTTTTGTTTTTTTTTAGGAATGGGCTTTCTCTGTGGACAATTTAGTGTTTGGGGAGGGGCTGAAGCTACTGAAGTGGGGCTTAGATACTTGCAGCTGAGGAATGCCCACCTGTGACCCTCTCCTTTCCTCAGCCCCAGATCCTGTTCTGGAAGCCCCATCGACCCCACCGCCATCCAGCCTTTTACGCCCCCGCCTCAGTCCCTGGGGCTTGGCCCCCCTCTTCCGTTCGGTTCGCTCCAAGCTGGAGAGCTTTGCTGACATCTTCCTCACACCCAACAAAGCCCCACAGCCCCCACCCCCATCACCCCCCATGAAGTTGGAGTTGAAGATTGCCATCTCAGAGGCTGAGCAGTCCAGACCTGCTGAGGGTACTGCATCTGTCAGTCCCCGCCCCCCTATCCGCCAGTGGCGAGCTCAAGACCAGAATCCCCCAGTACCTCTCCCTAAGCCATCTCTGGGCCGAAGCCACTCCTGTCCTGACCTGGGGCCTCCTGGCTCAGATACCTGCAGCTGGCCCCCTGCTTCACACCACCCAAGCCGGCCACGGCCTCGGCGGCATACTGTGGGTAGTGGAGAGATGGCTCGAGCCCCGCCACCGCCACCCCCTCGACCCTGTCTCCGGAAAGAGGTCTTCCCTCTTGGAGGAGTGGGAGGCTCTCCTCCCCTCATCACATCTTGTTCGTCCACCGCATCCACTTCCTCCTCCTTCTCTGAACCTGCAGAACCCAGGTAGTGCTCTCAGTAAAACCTTAAATCCCTGGCCACAGTCTGGGCCTAGCCTCCTTTCCTAGTATCCAGTGGGCAGGAGTTGGGTATACTGCTATGAATGCTGGTTGACCCTGAGCCTTGACCTTCTCTGCAGGTTGGGCTCAACCAAGGGGAAGGAGCCACAGGCCTCAGAGGACCAAGTGCTTTCAGACCCTGAGACCAAGGTAGACATACAGATGAGGGGGAGGAGATTAGTGGGAGCCTGTGCCCATGCTGCATTCTTACCCTCTGCCCCATTTTTGCAGACCACAGGAAAGGTTTCTCGATTTAGAATACGCAGGACACTGGCCCGTCCTCAACTAAACCTTACACCAATGGGGCTGCCTCGACCAATCAGGTGAATGCTTGTGTATGAAACTTCCCTGGCCAAACAGATGTAGGTTCACATTCCCTGAAGTATGGCTTTGTCTCCTCTCAGGGAACACGGTCCAATTTGGTCTGGATATGGTTTGTATTTAGAATAATCTGTCTGCCTCAGGCAGTACTCCTGGCACCTGGCATGTCCCAGAAACTGAAATGCAGACCAGGCCTTGCTTATCACTTCTCCAGGCCCCACTGGCTCCAGGTATTTTAGTGGCCTCTGCTCTTTGCTCCCAGGTTAAACAAGAAGGAGTTCAGCTTGGAAGAAATTTACACCAACAAGAATTATCAGTCACCTACAACCAGGAGGTGAGAAGCTTTGAAGGTTTGGGGGTGATAGAGGGAAGGCCAGAACCAAGGGGCATGCTGGTAACCAGCACCCCTCTTTGCCTGGTCCAGGACCTTTGAGACCATCTTCGAGGAACCCCGGGAGCGCAATGGGACTCTGATTTTGACCAGCTCGAGGAAGCTGCGGCGGGCTGTGGAATTTCGGGACAGCAGCCTTCCTCGATCCCGGCGGCCATCTCGTGGGGTCCGGGCTGCAGCTGGCAGGACCCTTACTCCTAATGTGGCCCCCAGCCCAGATGTGGGACCCCTGCTGCAGCAGCGGCTGGAGGAGCTGGATGCTTTGCTCCTGGAAGAGGAGGATGTGGATAGGGAGCTGCCCCATCAGACCTAGGAGCTCCATCTGTTTACCTGTACATCCATCCTGGAGGAAGGGGAAGCCTCCGAGGCCATTTCATTTTTTTCCTCTATATTTCTAGTAAAGTTTTCAATATACTTCTGATTCTTTTGTATGTTCCTGAGTTGGAGATTGATTGGTAGTATTGGCTGATGTTTCTACTTTGGCCCTAAAAGACTGGAAAATGGAGGCGGTTGTTAGGGAAGGTAATGAGGGTTAGATAACAAGGGGAATCAGGAAATGGTCACTGGAGATAACTTTGAGAATTTTACCTATGTAGAGGGGATACTTCTGAATCTGCTCCAGAAGATACTGTCATCCTGGATCCTGTTCAGGGTTCTCCCAATTCACTTACAACAAAGAGGAGACTGAAAGTCCCGGAGTGGACCAAGGTCATGATCAAGATGGCCCTGAACTCCTAACATGCAGGGCACCACCTGCTGCTGGATTCAAGAACTAAGGGTAATCAACTATAACTGGGCACCTACAACAAACTCACGGTACTTGATTTGCACATAACCCAGTGAGAGGGGATTATACCCATTCAAACATAGGAAAGCAAATTGAGTGCCTCATTGTGATGTCTATTTTAAAAGGATAACCCAGGCAAAGAGGCCAGAAGTGACACTCTACAACTTTCACAACAGAGGCAAAACAGAGCAGTGGCTAACAGCACAGGTTAGAGGTAGATCAAGCCCAAATCCTGGTTAGGAAACTAAATGTACACCAATCCCCTCCCTCTCTGTAAAACGGGGCTAATAGCAGTACCTTCCTAAAAGAATCCTTAATACCCAAGGAGTTATATAATATATGAGAAAGTGTCAGGTATACAAGAGCAAGGTGGGGTGGTTTTTTTTTTTTTGTTTTCTTGTTAGCACGCAGATATCACAGGCCAGCACTTTGCCATTCGACCGAGAGAAAACGCGATGCAGCTTCCTCCCCGCGCGTCTGGTGGTCGCCAGGCACGCCGCGTGTCCTGGCCACTCCACTTCATGGAGCTAATCCTGCCTAGCTGCCCTCCAGACGACGGTACTGACACGCGCGTGACGACAAGCCAGGCGGCCTGTAGCTTAAACCAAGCAGCGGAAAGGCAGAGACGACGTTACTGGCTGTCGACAGGTACCTTCCGCAGCTGCGCGCCGCCCAGCGGCCAACCGCTCCCCAGGGCTCGCGCACCACATCCCGACTCCTCGGGTTGATGCCGTCAGAGGGTGGACCAATGACCGAAGAACAGGAAAAGGAGGAGTCACCTGCGGAACCGCCCAAGCACCTACTTCTAACCAGTCGAGTCACGAGACTGGATAAAGGACGGAGCTAATCTGACGTATACCCAATCCAGAATTTGAGGGCGGTTACAAATTACCCACTCCCCGAGTTTGACTCCGCCCTCCGTCCTGACGTACACTTTTCCACCTATCAACGACTAAGTCTGTGGAGGGGTGAGAGGAAGGGGGCAAAGAGTGGGAGGAGGCAGAGAGAGGAAGGAGGCGTAGGCTGAGGAGGAAGAGGGAGGAGGGGCAGGGAAGTCCTGGCGGAGAAGAGGCCGAAGACTCCAAAGGAGACAAGAAGGTGCGCTGGAGCTCCCCCGCTGACCAACGGCCGTCTTTCGGATCCCTTCAGGAGCGAGTCACACAGAGACGAGGAAAGGAGGAAGAGACTTTTATGTCGGCAGACAGAGGAGCTCTACCCGTCACCGTTGCCTCACATCCGGGGCTTTGGAGGGCTGGCCGCTGCGGTCCCGCCCCCACTTCGAGCCTTTCATGGCGACTGGAGGCGGAGGCTGGAAGAGCTGGGACTGGAGGGGGCCCCTTTAAATCTTCTTAAAGGGGTGGCCAGTGGACTCGGCAGACTACAACTCCAGCCTTAAAGGGGCAGCCGCCGGACTGAAGCTGACAAATTGAAAACTGCTGTTGGGAGAATTGGAGCAAGTGGGGATTCTTACCTCTTCTTTCCCCCCATTCCAGAAGTCCTTTAAATTCAGCTTAAAGGGGAAGTGGCCGCTTGTGGAGTACTGGAAACAAACTACGACCCTGTTAAGCGGCGGCCTGCTGTTTTGAGGACCCTGGACTCCTTAAAGGGGTGGCCTCTTTTAGCCGGAGGACTTGAGACACTTTTAAAGGGAAGGTCTGCGTTCCGGGGCGAGCGTTCGGTCCCTTTTAAAGGGGGTGGTCCTTCCTCTTCGGGGAGACTAGTCTCGACCCCTGGCAGGGGGCGGCCACCGCACTAGGCCGGCCGGACACTGTCGAGTCGTCTTAAAGGGGCCAGGGGCTGGACAACTTGAGGTTTCGCCTTAAAGGGACGGCCGCCCCTTTTTCTGCGTCTCGTCCCCGCCGGCCCCACGGGAGGGGGGGTGACCCTCGGGCTTGTCGCCCCGGGGGCGGCGCCGGCTCCCCAGGCCTTGGCCTTGGGGCAAGTTCAGGGCCATCAGATCCTGCTTTAAAGAGGAAGCGTGGCCCTCTCGTCCCTGTGCAGCCGCCAACGCCGCGCCTGCGACCCCGGGCCCGGGGACAGGCCGCTTCGGGCCCCGCCGCCTCCGGATGCGGCACTGAGGGCGGTCGCCATGGAGACGGCCGCGGCTCCCGGCCCGGGCTGGGCCGCTGAGGGAGAGCGGCGGCGGCGGCGCTGCTCTCGCCGAGACCGAGACCGGGAGCAGCGGCGCCGCCGAGGTCCTGGCGGCGACGCACCCCGGGCCCTGTTGGCCGCCCCGCGCGGATCCTCGTCCTCGTCGTCGCCGCCGCCGCCCGCCAGGCCCTGGTCGTCAGCTTCGTCTGGAGAGCGGCCCGGAGGCCCGAGACGGCGGCGGCCCCGTCCCAGGCCTCGGCCACCGCGACCCCGAGCTCGGAAGCGCCCTGCCGGCTCCGGTAGTCGCGGAGAGGAGGAGGAGGAGGAGGAGGGGGGTGCAGACGATGGGGAGGCCGAGGAGGAGCCTGAGGAGGAGGAAGAAGAGGAGGAGGACTTGATCGATGGCTTCGCCATCGCCAGCTTCGCCAGCCTCGAGGCCTTGCAGGTGGGGCCTCATGGGGCTAGGGACCTTTGGGGGCTTCACAGGGGCAGAGAGAAGGGTATGGTGCCTGGAGTGGGTGGAGTTGAGGGGGGAATGCTGGCACCCCAAACCAGAGCAACCGGCTCCTCTGGCCAGGCCTCTGCCCCGCCCTGGGGTGGGAGGAGGTAGAGCTAGTCTCCAGGGACCAACCAGGTTACCCTGCCTGAGAGCCACTCTGGTAGCCTGGTCACCCCTAGAGAGGTCGGGAGTTTTCCTTTCTTCATCTACTTTAGTCCCACCTCCTCCTCCACAGAAGGATGCCTCTCTTCAGCCCCCAGAACGATTGGAACATCGACTAAAGCATTCTGGGAAGCGGAAGAGGGGGGGCTCCACTGGGGCCACTGGGGAGCCAGGGGACAGCTCTGATCGGGAGCCTGGGCGGCCCTCTGGAGATCGTGCCAGAAAATGGCCCAATAAGCGGAGAAGGAAAGAGGTGAGTTTGTTGTAGATCCCTGTCCTTTAAAACTCAGTATCTAAGGACAAATATGAAAACAGAGCAAATTTGAGCTCCTACTCCCCCATCCAAGTCTGACAAAGATATGTCCACAGTGAGACTGGCTGGCGCTAAGTCTGCTTCAACATGTTGATAATTCAGAGATCTATCAAACGGACTTAGTTGAATCATAAATGAATTAGATATATTTTTGCCCTCCCCCTTGACGTGGTGACAGTCTAGCAAGAAAGAAACAGTCTACAAGCAAATACCTGTATCAAAACCCGAGAAGCTACAGAGGCAGAGGTCTGGCAGAGATGCTGCAGAAACCCACATGAGGAAGCCACTCATTCTGCCTGGGGGATGGGAGGAGGGTTGTGGTTAGGGAAAGCCCCCTAGGATATCTTAGTCAGGCCTTGAAGAATAGTCATAAGTTTTGCTAAGAGAAGAAACGGGGCAAAGTTGTTTTGGACAAAGCACAGATATATGAGCCTGGTATATTTGGAAAATGGCCAGAGCATTGGGAACAGAGGTGGGAAGTAGCAGTAGGAGCAGGTAAAAAGAGATTGAGAGTAGGTCCTGAGGGGCCTTGAGTGCCTTGTTGGGAAGTTTAGACATTGTCCACGGGCTTCGCCAGTCAGCTTCCCTTACCTCTGGACTCTGATCTTTCTCAGGCCTCCTCCCGTCACTCTCTGGAAGCTGGATACATAGTAAGTGCTCTCCACCTGTACTGGTCTCACCCCTAGTATTTCATCTCTGAAAGTTCCTTCTTGATTCTGGGCCCCACTTCTCTTCCCTTTTGTGACACTTCTGTCTTTCCTTCTCCCCAGTGTGATGCAGAAAGCGATCTGGACGAGAGGGTGAGTAGAGCTAGAACTTGTTGGATGGGCATTGTTACAGCTTATAAAATGAACTGCAGTTTGAAGGGCTCCTGTGTGCAGCAGATAGAATCTCCTCTTGAGTGGGAAACATGGGTTAGGTTGAGCCAGGATTAGATTTTTGGCGGGGCAGGGGTGGGGGGATTGAGAGAGTAAATGATTTCTGTTGTGACTAGAGCCAGTTGACAAAAGAGTAGAAGGCTCCTGCTTTGGTGTGCCATCCTTTCTAAAGCTCTTAAAGATGCCAGTGGTTCTCCCCAGAAATTCAGAGTGGCTGTGGAACCAAGCTGGTCCTTCCTGCTGACTATTAGGCAGTCTTATAGATTAAAGTCTGAGCAAAGACCATGGCATTGAGGATACTAAAAAATTGTAGTTGGTGTAAGAACATACACTATAAAGATGTATTTCAGTTTGTTAATAGGGATGACTTGCTCATTTTAAAATAATGGTTCCTAACAGTTGGTGTTCTCCCCCTATAATTAACTAAATTTGTACTCACTGATGTGTGTCTTGTTTTAGTTTTTAAAAGTTGGCTGGACAGGGACTGTGGTGAACCAAAGAGTTCTTGTCCATTTAAAGGGGGCAGCCCCTATCTAGTTACTAGCTCACTGTTGCCATGTGAGACTAGGGGCCCATCCTCAAGAGAAGCTGCAAGTCTGAGTTTTTATAAAGACTCTGAATTTCTAAATATCAGCAATTAGTTTATAATATTTTGGT